TATTGCTGTTAATGATGATGAAGCTGACGATGATGTTTACACAAATAACTTGAAGAAAAAGAAGAGGAAGAACAACAACAACAACAACACCATCAACACCAACATCAATAACAGGAATATCATGAATGCTATTATCGGATTTATTCAAGAAAAATAAAGTCCTCCATCGCCACCCCCTACGGAATATGAATTATGATTAAAGTATTATCCTGATGGCATATTTATCGCAAATTCTATCCCAACGGTTTTCGGTATAAGATGTAATTATTCAGATATTTGACTTTCTGCCTAAGACAAAAATTATTCAGTTAGTAAGAGGGTTATATTTAATTGTTGCATGATGTTGTATTATCAATAAAGGAAATCGCGTCTGCCTTTGTCTTTTTGTCTTTGTCATCTTGTCTTCAGTTCCTTCCCATTCAATATTTTCTAGTTATTAATCACACCATAGTTGCTGAATAATAACAATCAATTTCTGTTTTACTACCATAAAAAACGCCGATTTGGATCCTTTTCAAACCCTCGTCTGGCTTCTAAATCTAGACAAGATGAAAATTAAGATTGAAACTAACGTCGGGCTGCCCGCAATATGGTCGTAAATGCTATGTGAATGTCAATGACATACACGGCCTACTTGCTGGCAGACGACTGTTTACTCTTTGATAATCGGAAGTTTTGATATGAATCTACATGAAGTAGGCCATTTGTGGCATGTCTGTAATACGGACGAGTGACTCTACATGAACTTGAAAGAAAAAACAGACTTTCGTTTTGATTTCAAATCGCTCAGTGGAGCATATACGAACAACGTTTCTTTTTTTCTTTCTGCAGGGTGTTAACATTTATAGTAGGCTTTATCATTATGGTACAATGTATAAGGATTAGCGTTGAAATTGGGTTTTTATGTTATGGTTTGTTTCGGGCTGTAATTGAGGTTTACATGTAGGTCTACTCTCTTTGTAACTAGGTTTATATGTTCGGTGTTTATTCCAGGGTTTAGTTACGAAATCGGTTAGTGTAGGACCAAATGCCGAAGGAGCACGTGTCGTTGAACCGTTCAAACCACTCTTGGTTTTGATAGAAACAGAAAATGAGAGGAAATGTTCAGTGAAATTTTGAGCAGACAAGTCCCATAAAAAATAGGAACATTTTGGATTTTGGGAGCTGTGATTATTCGAATACAAATTGGCAACTCTGTGACGTGATCTTGCGAGCTCCTCTCCCATTTTTCACTATATGTCACATGCATATTCACCTTTTCACATAATAGCAGTGAAGGGATGTTCCTTTGTCTACCTGAGGAACTGTATATTTTGTCCGCTTTCTTTGTCAGTCATATTCATAGTGATATGTGCTAACCGTGAACTGGTCTATCAAGGTATTGAATCCCCCCCCCCCCCCCCCTCCCCCTGAGCTGAATTTTCGGAAATAGTCGCGATCTTGTTCCAAACCGCAGAGATAGCGCGCGCCGTGGCTCGCTGTTGGGCGGACCGAAACGACTCTATCTCTGCGGTTTGGAAGGTACAACGTCGTTTCGGTCCGCCCAACAGCGAGCCACGGCGAGCCAAAAAGGCGTGCCACTGGAGCACCTCTTGGGGGTGGTCCACGAGAGATAGCGCGGTCTAGCGCGCGCTAGAAAAAAGGGGGTGCTACGATAGACCGCGCTATCTCATTGCGGTGTGAACAGCCTCATTGTTATCCGTTGCCAAAACAAAAAAAGGTAGTCTTTAACAACTTTAAAGTAGCACATTGCCATGCCCTTAATGTACCGAATGAATATACATAGCCCAGACAATCATGATAACTGCCAATACTACCCTCAAAAATCCACTCTGAGCTTTCAAACTTGAGACCATCACTCAACAACCCGAGCCAGGTGTGATGTCATCGTGATGTCATCATGACGCAGGCCATGAGTAACGAAGTAAAATGATCCACACTAAGGCATGGTAATTCCCAATAGCTCGATGTTCTGAACGAATTCATCATTCAAGTTCTACTTACGCGCGGGAAATCGGCATCTTTCCCTGTTAAGCGCGCGGGGCTTAAGGAGACCCGGTACGCCCTTGACTGCGTTAGTTGATCATGTTCAATCTTTCCAGCGTTTTTTATTTGTTGGTGGGTTTTTGATGATCCACGTTTGGGATAAAGCTATGGATGTGTCAGAGGAAGAAGAAGAGGTTACAGATTACAAAGGTTTCCGAGACAGGAAGCGATACGGTGATATCAGAAGCCTGCACGGAAGAATCACGGCCAAAATACTATCTCCAGAGTCCTGACTTTGGCCGCGTTCACACCTAAGAATGTCTCGATGATTCTAGGGAAGAAAAAAAAATTGATTTTATATACACGTTTGTTTCTTCGCTTCGTTTTTTCTTCTCTTCTATTTGTTTCTTCTCTTTGATTTTATATTCTATGCTTTTCTCTTCTCTTGTTTTCTTTCCCCCTCTTCTTTGCTATCCTTTTCATTTCTTTTCTCTTGCCTTTTAATTTTTCCTTTTTTTTTCTTAACTGCAATTTTCTTTTCTTTTCCCTTTTTCCTGTATTTTTCTTTTATATCTCTCCTTTCCCCTTCTTTTATTACCTTTTGTTTTCTTTCGTAAGTGCTGTTTTGGGTATAGGCCTGTGTTCTTGAGTGGAAATTTTGTGCTTCAGCTCGGATTTTGATCACACATTGGAATATCACATCACAATTCGCATTATCTCCAATACGATGTTCATACGGTGTTATATACTTCGACGCGTACTGTATAAACACGACATGAGATCACACACCGTGTAGACAGGGAACACATTTTCAACCACCCTAGATACTCACTGAAAATTCCCACGTGGAAACACAGCCAGGTGCTGGGAAAGCAATTCATGACTACACACTGGTATCGTTAATGACGCATCGCCATAATACATAACGTGTACACGGCTTACATGATCCATCGCTAATCTTCTACATTAAATCTCTTAATGTGCCCAACCTCCCGTGATGACATGCACGATTGGATTTTTCGAGCGTTTCATTCCTGAAAATGCTTTTAAAAAGTAGGAATTACCTGGAAAAACGGCTACTGAATCAGAAAGTGAGAATTAATAGCTATTCAATATTAATCAGACTTCACGTGATAAAACTGCCTAGGTTTTTTTATTTCCCGGCGTGTTCATGGTCTATACCATTATTGAAGAAGAAAGAAGAAGGAAAAAAAAAATCAATTTCAATATAATATAGTGAGGAGGCGCGATAGCTCAGTCGGTAGAGCATTGGTCTCGTTATCCGGCGACCTGGGTTCGAAACCAAGTCGATGCGCTAGTGCCCTTTGATAAGGCATTAATCCTTATTACCAGGTCCGTCAGAGAGGACCTACATCCGTCAGTCCTCTGGTTGCTTAGTAACAAGCGTTTATGTTTTTTTTAGCAGTCAGGTAAAATAACCACTACAATAAACGACATTATATTGAAATTCGATCTGAAGTCTCCAAAACACAGACGATGGAAATATCCTACTTCATAAAACTGATTTTTGATTTATTATTTATTTATTTATTCAAGTTTTATTTAAAGTAGAGGGTAGGTACATCCAGTAAATAAAACTGCTTTCCAAATACGCCCTCTAGGACGACATAATAAACATGTGATATACAAAAATACAAGCAATACATGAAAATATAACATTCATCAAAACTAAACATTTGAATAACTTGACATTGATTATTGTCAAAATATGAATATGACAAAACTATAGGTTTTCCCGCCCAATTCTGTCAACGTTGCATCCTATTTAATGATGCGATCATTCAATTTAGAGCGAATTTGAATGATCACCGAGATCAACGTTAAAAAAGCTTTAACTAGTTCATTCAATTTAATTGTATTAGCATGCGATTTCATGATTTTCTTACATAAACGTGTAAAAAATGCGTTCAAATTAAAAATGCATGTAAATTCCTTCAAATTCGCACCTAGCTGCACCGCCCTGATGAACGTTAAGGTATTCAAACTCACTAATAGGAAAGCTTTTATAGCATTTGGGCAGTCTTTTTTTGTATGTTTTTTGTACTGTTTATTATCTTTGCTATCTGCATCTGTTTGATTAAATTATGCAACTTTATGAACCTAAAAAGGTGATCTTTACCTTATAATGAAATATTTTATTCCTCTGAAAACCGTCATCGAAGCACTAATATAAAAAGCAAAATAATTATGAGTTACATCCATTATGTAAGTGTTATATCCATACTGCTAGGGAATAAAGTGAAATTGGCAAGGAAGATTAGAAAGAAAATAAATATATAAAATATGATTAAAATAAACATTATGAAACTTTAAAAATGAAAATGAAAGTAGAAAAGGCCTTATTAAAAACAGTGAAAAAAAAGTAAATATGATGTGAAAAAATTGCTGTAAGAATTACATAGAGATTCAGAACTTGTTTATGTTAATTTAATTCGAACGTTCAACGTGCGAGGTGTGTGCCTCTAAATGAAATTGAAATTGGTATCAAGGACGAAATTGAACGTCTACCCAGCTGGCGCGAAATTGAAAGACAACTTCGCGTCAATAAATTGAATGGATTTCTCTGTAAATTGAATGAAATAAAATTTCAAAGGAATGATAAAAACCAAAAATTAAATATTCAAGGAATGAAAATGAACCATGAGAGCAGAGAATTGACGAAAATCGTTCGAACTTAAACGCCTATTCCTGAATTCGAATGCAACTCTGACGAAATTGGGTGGGAAAACCTTTAGTATCATTATTATGAATATTGTGTAGTTATTAATATCATTCTCATTATCATAATCAGTATTATTATCACTAATATTATTAGGCCTATTATTATTACTATTATCACCATAGTTATAGTTGTTATCATTATCATTATCATTAATATTGTTATCATTAATATTAACCCTTTTATATATTTCTACTAATATTATCATCATCGTCATCATCATCGTCATCATCAACATTATGATCCTTTTTTTTTTATTACTCATATTTTTCAGATGTACGTCTCGAGAATGGAAAAGGGGCTTACGAAGGCAGCGTGGAGATCACTACGGATTCTTACAACTGGGAAATCATCTGTGGAAGCAGCGAATTCGACATTCTTGACGTCATCGTGATTTGTCGGCAGCTCAACTATCCGGGTGCTAACCGGGCGTTGGTGACCAGCCGTTATCCGGCAGGCGATTACCCGATGTCTGAATTTGCTTTTAGATGCACAGGGAACGGTAAAATTTGATTTTTTTTTTCTTCCTTTATGCTATTATTTCATTTGTCTCACCTCGTTCTTCTTCTACTTCTTCTTCCTCTTCTTTTTTTTTCTTTTGCTACTTTAATTCCTGTTCTCTTCCGTTAAATTCGAATAACGTCACTTTATCTCATAATTATATTTCAACATAGTCAAATATTATTATGACATGTGTCTGTATTATGGTGTCTTACAAAGAAGACATTTGCAATGCTCCTCTAATTTGGTTTGTTTGTTTGTCGTATTATTAATTTCGTTTTATTGTTTTCATTCTTATTAGAAAATCATCTTAATAAGTGCAGCTTCACCGCAACACAATGTGCTTCGCGGCAGGTCGCGGGTGCCGTTTGTTACAGACCAGGTAGGCCTATAAATCTTTGACTCTCTCGACCCCCCCCCCCCCCCCACACAATCTATCAATCTCTTTCTCTCTCTCTCTCTCTCTCTCTCTCTCTCTATCTTTCCCTTTCTCCCCCTTTTCTCTATTTCTCTTTCTCTATCTCTCTCTCCGTCTTTCTCTCTCCCTCTCTTTCCCCTTCCCCTCTCACACTCTCTCTTCATCTATCTCTAATGCTCCTTCTCTCTCTCTCTCTCTCTCTCTCACTCACTCATATGTGCCTCTGTCTTTCAATCATCTTCCCTTTTTCTGTCTGCCTGTTTCCCTGCTTATGTCTCTCTGCCCGCTGTCATTTCTTTTCAAACTATTTTCTCTCTCTCTCTCTCTCTCTCTCTCTCGCTCTCTCTTTCTTTATAACTCCCCTTGTTTCTGTCAATATACATGTTATATTTAATTGAGGTAACTTAATTAACAATCTACAAGTGTAAGTAAAACAAATGTACTGTACTATACATATAAATGTAAATATAAATTGAACGGAAAATCAATATAAATTTGAAAATGTTGACTTTAGTACATCCCTTTTCAAAAGCACGGTAATTATTTTCATTTCATATTTTAATGAGTTTTCACTTTCTACCATCAGATAGCGGATATTTGGGTTGTTTTAACGACCGGTTCACCGATCCGGCATTGACGGGGGCGGTTGTCGTGGAACAGAGTATGACACTATCTCGATGTGTGGATTTCTGCCAGATCAACGGATTTGCGTATGCGGGACTGAAGCTCGGGACAAAGTGCTCTTGCGGGACTAAAAACGAGGTTTACGATAGATACGGGAAAATAAGTGATTCTCAATGCCATTACTCGTGCGGGGGATCTCAGTACGAAAGCTGCGGTGGATACGAAACAACTGCAGTTTTTAGAGGTAAGCAAAAGAATATGATCGCAAAAAGTGATTTTTTTTTTTTATTTTTTTTTTTACCCCTCGGCGCGCCTCGGGGTCATATCAGGATGTAACGTCCCATTGAGCCTATAGAAACAGCGATGCCTCTCATAGCAGTCAATATACTATAGGTTTTCCCGCCCAATTTCATCAGAGTTGCATTCGACTTCATGAATAGGCGTTCAAGTTCGAACGGTTTCCATCAACTCTCTGCTCTCATGGTTCATTTTCATTCTTTGAGCATTTAATTTCATTTCATATCATTCCTTTTAAATTTTATTTCATTCAATTTAGAGAGAAATCCATCCAATTTAGTGCCGCTAAGTTGTCATTCAATTTCGCGCAAGCTGGATAGACGTTCAATTTCGTGCTTAATACCAATTTCAATTTCATTTATAGGAACACACCTTCGCACTTTGAACGTTCAAATTAAATTAACATAAACAAGTTCTGTAGTTCTATATTTTTCCCGCAATATTTTCGCGTCATATTTTTTTTCTCATTATTTTTAATTATACAACTTAATTTTCATTCTTAAAGTTTCATGTTTATTTTTATTTTATTCTATATATTTATTTTCTTTCTAATCTTTTTTTTTCAGTTTTACTGTATTCCCTAGCAGTATGGATATAACACTTACAGAATGGTTATAAATCATAATTTGTTTACATGACGGTTTGTTAGATGAATGAGATATTTCACTTTAAGGGAAAGGTCCCATTTCAAGGTACATAAAGTTTGCATAATTTATTCAAAGAGATGCAGATTGCAAAGAATATAAACAGTAACAGAAAAAGACTGCCCAAATGCTGTAAATGCTTGCCTATTCGTCAATTTGAATACCCTAACGTTCATCAGGGCGGTGCAGGTGCGAAATTGAATGCATTTACTTGCATTTTTAATTTGAACGCGCTTTTTACACGTTTATGTGAGAAAATCATGAAATCGCATGCTTATACAATTAAATTGAATGAACTAATTAGCTTTTTGAATGTTGATCTCGGTGATCATTCAAATTCGCTCGAAATTGAATGATCGCATCGTTAAATCGGGTGCAACTCTGATGAAATTGGGCGGGAAAACCTATATTATAATAACCTAGGCTTCCATAGCGTTTTTCATATTCGGAGAAAAAATCAATGCGCTTTACATTTTTTTTTTTTTTTAAATACAGATAAGTACTAATTCATGAGCTAAGAAAATATTAAAATAAGAACAAGATAACACTAATTATGAACAACAATCATAAAGAAATGAAAGCAACATTAATGTAGTTTAAATTATGATGAAATACATAATGCAATTTTAATGACATCAGAGAGCCTTTTCGAGCGAGTAAGATTTCAGTTTTGATTTAAAGGAGTTAATGATTTAATATTGATTTCAATGATACCCAATGATGAATGTGTTCAAAGAATTTTGTCTCCTCTCTTAGTTTCTGGTCTTACCTTTATACTTTTCTATGCAGTTGTAAGTACTATGGTTCCAAGCACACCGGTCACCACTCGGCCTTTGACAACTATGACGTCATATTTTCACTCCGGAATGACTACAACAAAAGGTGAGAGTCATAGCCTCTCCTGTTTTTATAGCTGCACATAGTATCAACATGTAGTGAGATTTTTACTTGCACTATTCCATCTGGGCACTCGACAAGCACAAGTACGATAATACGCCAACGGAGGTCTGTACTTAACTGGAAGAAGAAGAAGAAGAAAAAGTTTTGTATTTCAGGAAAAATGGTTGCTGCTAGTGGTATTAAGATCCTTGCAGATGAAAGATGGACTAACCTCCTTCCAGAGATCTCATCTCTCTCTCTCTCTCTCTCTCTCTCTCTCTCTCTCTCTCTCTTTCTCTTACTCTTTCTCTTTCACATACTTATTTCGCTTTCATTAAACTTTTAATAGGTCGAGATTTGCTCGAGTTTCGAGCCGCGCATGTAATGATGAAGAACATGAATATTGTTACATGTTTGTTTTACTCGCAAAACTTGCTCCCGAGTTGTTTCATCAAGTCTTTATTTGAAAAGAACATGTCATACAGAGTACATATGCCGTATAAACCATCGATTTTTACCATTATCACTAAAAGTAGTAAATAAGAATGCTAAATTGTACTTTTTGTTCTTTATCTCTTCACCCGATTGCCTGTTGACCGTACATCCCCTATACTTTATCAAAATAGGCAGTGGATACAACCGCACACGACCGGAAGTCACGAATGGTTACCCAAGCACCCCCTCGGTGACGGTCAGGATGGTGGCTAAAGAAGGAAGTACGTATACAAACACAACCGTCTGTCATAAATGTGTGTCATTAAAAATTAATATGAAAAGAAATGTCTCATTAATCATGTTCAGGTGGGTTTTATGTCAACATTTCACACTAAAATACGTATGCCCTCCCTTTGAAGAGAACCGAACTGCACAGTAGGAACTACCTTCAAAGCGGGACTGCACTACTGGTATCTACTTGCGCCTTCTATACAGCCAACAATTCGTAATCGGTGACCGTTGGTCCCCCATGTTCCCTTTTACGCATGTTAATTAAGAGCTGATTTGATGAGATAACCACCTACCATATAGCACTTTACATTTTAAGGGGTTGTGTGTACTTTGGCCAGTTAAATTGTTAAAGGTGGGGCGTTGGCTGCTTAACCCCCCCCCCCCACCCCCTCCTTAAAATCGTCAGTGAATTCATCATCAATTTGCACATCTCTTTCCTACTTTGTCTCTTATTCCATGTTTCTCACAGACTTCATCAGCCAGCCGTCCGGTATAGCTGTAGTGATATCATTGTCCGTTGTAACGATCGTCTTGATTTTGATCGTCGTGTTTCTTGTACGTAGAAGGTAAGTAAGATCACAATAACACGATATCAACTACTTTAACACATGATAACTTATCAAATTCACCAGAGAATATTATGCTCATTTAATAAGCGTGGCACTACCGTGTGAGTCAAAAAAAAGTTTACACCTAGAAAATTGCTAATTATTTTAAAAATCATCTATGAACAGTAAATTATTATACATCTTATGAAAAAGTGTTTTATCCCAAATCATTTGGTACTTTTTTTTGTGGTATGTGTTTGCGCTTGGATGAACAGGTGGCATTGTTTGCGAGAGTGCAAAAATCGACTTGCGCCAAAGTGATGCCTTCAGTATGTATTGTGTTGGGATTAGCGGAGTGAGAGAATGGATTGAATGTATCAAATGAATTGCATTGCATATGTTTTTTGCAAAGGGCAAAGTCACACACACGCGCACAAATGTTCGTTGATATTTGATATTCGATATTTGATATGAGTGGCATGATCAATTTTGTTAGGGGTGTTATTTGGATCTGCAAAGACCGAATTAATACCCAAATCCCAATTGTTTTATTCAAACATCACATAGGCAACTTTGGCGCAAGTCGATTTTTGCACTCTCGCAAACAATGTCTTCTGTTCATCCAAGCGAGAAACACATACCACACAAAAGTGGTATCAAATGATTTGGGATAAAACACTCTTTCATAAGACATATAACAATTTAATGTTTATCGATGACTTTTTAAATAATGAGCAATTTTCTAGGTGTAGACTTTTTTTTGACTCACTCTGTATACCTTTAATTTGTCCTTTTCAATATTGTATCATAATTTTTCACTTGAATCAGGGTGCGGCATGTTTAATACTCTGTGATGTATTTTCAAGTTATTACATCATCTATTATACCTGTCGCTCAAAAATACGCCATTTGGGTGTTGCAACCCCATGCATCCAGCCCTGTTACTAAAAGTAATGTTAGTATAATACCCTAACTTGCCTGTCCACTGTAGTATGTTCTTGTTTTGGATAGAGTAAACTTTGGCGTCTATTTAAATCAAGGATTTCTCTTTAATGCACAACAGGTCATCTCCCCCTGATTTTAAGCGAAAACCGAGTAACCGGCCCTACGAAGAGATAACCCTTGAAGTCCAAGAGATGGAAAGCCCTGGAACGGCACCGAACGCTTACTGTGAAACCGGGGATGTCCCTCTGAATACACCGCTAGTCGTCACACCTGCGGACCATACATACGAACACGCCGAGCTGTTTTCACCAGGTGAAAGGAATTCCGAAATGTACTGCACTGTCCCTGACGTGGCACCAGAGAACTCGTCATCAGTCCCGAACGGCCGAACCAAGCCCGAGACGCCTCCGGAAATTCGCAATCTGTACGCGAAGCCGCAGAAGGTTAAGGAGACATCGCGCGTTCCGAGATACGACACGGGCTATGAGACGATCGATGACGAAGACTTACGAGTCGACCCGAAGAGTTACCTCGGTGGTGCTCGGGACATTGCCGATGGTGTTGGCGTGCAGGAGGAGGAGGACAACCATGTTGGATATTCCACGATACAAAATGGCGGAGATGATTTCGAGTCGAGTTTGAACCTGGATGAGATGTATGCAAAGCCTATAAAGAAGGCACATCGTAAGGTTGTAAAAGAAGACAGTTTTGATGAGACTTGCATGGTGGAAAATGAACTTTACACATCCACTGACTCGTAACCATAGAAATAATCACCTTATTAGAAGTCATACAGAATACTGTAATGAAATGTTTTGAATTCCTTTGTGTCTATACTATAATGGCCTTTATTTATTGTGTATCTAAATGTGTTAGCTAGATAGGCGGTGATAAACCAACAATATACAAATAATTATATACTGTCTTCAGAGTTTCTGGTCGAAACTATAGGCAAGAGGTGACTTTAATATTCACCGAGGCCCACAGTTTCAACCAGTACCTCGAAAAGAAGGCAGTGTATATATTTCTTTTTATCCTCTAGTTTTTTATATTTTATGTAGTACATTTTTTTTAAATAATTTTTTTATTGAAATTTAATATTTTTAACATTTTTAATTTTGCTATTTTTATTTTTGAATTTAACATTTTAATATTTTTCATTTTTAATTCAAATTTTGCTAGACGTAAATAGTACCTGTTGCAAACTAGACAGTTTATCTTTGATCACTTGAAGAGCTCTCAACCAATAAGATCAATTCCGGACGTGTATAATGTCACAACTATCTCTCTTCATACGCTATGGCTTGAATTGGACGTTTTATGGGTATGATAGTTGTTCCAGCATGAAAGACTAGACTGTTATCGGACTAAATAATTCATATTTTTGACCATTGGCAAACAGGCCCAAATCAACAAAATATTGCACGTGTACATCTTATTCTCTCGGTGGTTCCCATTCTCCTTCTTCTTTCCATTTTTCATCATCCTCCTGCTCTTGTATCATCATCAACACCATCATCATCTTTAACGTCGTCGTCGTCATTTCCATTACCATTATCATCGTCATCGCCATCATTATCATAAACATCACCATCATCATCACCATCATCATCATCACCATCATCATCATCATCATCATCACCATCATCATCATCATCATCATCATCATCACCATCATCATCATCACCATCATCATCATCATCATCATCACCATCATCATCATCATCATCATTGTCATCATCTTTAACGTCGTCGTCGTCATTTCCATCACCATTATCATCATCATCGCCATCATTATCATCATCATCGTTATTTTCTACATCATCATCATCATCAACAAAAACAACATCATCATCAACATCATCATCATCATTACGATGATAATTAAACGCCTTGAGCACCATCTGGATGGATAATTATTAATCAAATTATTTAATTCTAAATTGCATAATGTTTTTTAGATATAACATTTCAACTTTTGTTTACATGATTACATTTACCGTATATAATGATTAAATAGCATATGTCATGGTCATTTCAAATACAATTTGCAATGTCGCAAATGTAAAGTTATTTCTATGTTGTTCTATGTTTATAATGATCACATTTCTATGCAGTATCATAGGAAAAAAGTGTTTGGGCGTTTCAGTACAATGTGTCCGATACGTCACATTTATAATATAGCGTGTAAAGTTCTTCAAATTACCGTTTTAAATCAACTGTCTGGAAAAACAATCTGTCCGGATGCCCAACGTCTGGGTATACAACAAATTAAAGATTTTAATCTTTCTGCATTGTCATAAAGCATGTCCAAGTATTTGGTGACCCGCTTTGGTGTGATGTCGAAGTGCAACTTAAGTAAAACAACTGTAAAATTATCTATGACTTTCCGTAAATATTTACCTGTGTTAATATCTGTATCTGTATACAGGCTTTGACTGAAGTAATAAATGCAACTACCCATGTATTAAGCTACATCTAAACATAATTTGAGTTGGTCTAGTGGTGGGGTATTTACATGATCTAGGCTACTTGTAGAATGGCTTTGATTACTTTAATCCCGAGTCGTTGATCCCACATTTGCTTCGGTGACAAAACAGCTCCGGGCTTTATTTCCTCACAAGTATAGTATGGGGTTAGGGTTGCGATTTGGATTTAAATAGGATAAAAAAAGTAAGAAAGTAGTCAATTTTGAAAGTTGTAATCACTATACGTATATCTGCACAAACGGGAGAGTTATCCATGACTACGTCACAATACATTGGATAAATTGCCATTTTGACATTTGCATATAGATTTACAGTGGTCTCATAATTAAAAATCATAGTTCTCTTATGAAACAATCTGATCCGATCGATACACGCTTGTGAAAACACAACAATTCAAACACTTCCGATTGCAAGCATAGTGTCAATTTGGGGTCGATGATTATTTCGTGTCTCCATCATGGTATGATAAAGTGGGTTATAGTTTTTTGGAATTAAGAGACCTACAGTCAAACCTGTATATAAAGGCCGCCCAAGGGAAACAGGGAAAGTGGCCACTGTAGGCAGATGGCCTTTCCAGACAGGGTGTAATAACACACTTTTTGTTCTCGAGGGAAACAAAATACGTGGCCACTTAGACAATTGGCCTTTCTAGACAGGTTCAACTAAACATACATTCCTTCCTCAAGGGATACGAAATACATGTCAACTATAGACAGGTAACCTTTGTAGAGAGGTGACCACCATGATGGTTTGAATGTATATTCACATAATGGATGAGTAGTTAACAATAATCCCTGTGGGTGATATAGTTTGGTTGCTTTGTTTTCCACTATGCCACTCTCCCTATGAAGCGTCAATAAAAGACCGCGCAAATCTTTGACGTATTCCTACGTTAACAAATGACGCTTCGCATGCACCGGGCGAAACGGACTCTTTTTACTTTTTTTGTAATTATTAATTTACTAGCCTTCCGTCAATGCCACACACGAAATCCTGCAGTAAGCCATTGCGTCCCTGTGTCAATTTTATATGCGTCGGTGCCTTTATAGGCTACATCTTACCATGTCAAGTGTGTTTTTATGTGTCTATATCTCCTCGTTTGACGCAGTAGAATCGACGTCTGATTGTGCATACCACTGTGGATCACATTTGCACTCTTATGTCATCGGTGTTACGTTGCCCTATGATGATAAACCGAGATGTGCCTCCTTGCCATTCTGGAGGGTGTCGAGGGTGGGAAAAACCCAGATGACCACTGAACGCCTATTTCATTTCAGTACAAATGCTGTTTCAAAAACTACTTCTTTATTTAATAAATACAATGAAAATATATAGCAAAGACTAATTAACTTCATAGCACATTGTTCCTTGACTGTCAATGCATCGATCAGCGATTATCTACTGCCGTTCTCGCTTCAGTCGTTGTCCCATAATTATTATTGTCCGTCCTGACGTTGGCGTCGCCTACGTGGACTTCTCCTCTCATGAATAGTTTCGTCATCTCGATGATGTTTGATGCTCCTCCTAAACCCTTCGGTTCTCCTGCCTCTTGTCTCTTCTTCTCAATCTTCCTCTTAAGATCTATGATAGGGATCAACGTGAAGATGAGCATGGCGATGACGAAGAATAAAGTATTGACGTAAAATCGTTGTAGTATGAATGCGTTGCGTCGTAGATGACGCCTGTCAGGAAAGAGAGAAATGAAAGATTGTGTCATTTTTCAATCAAACAGTTTTCTTTATTCGATCGTAAATTCACTCAATATCCATGATTACCTGGTAACACAGGTTCAAAGGCTAGAGATGGGCGGGAATGTTCCTGTAGACCGACATCCAAAGATACCGACAGCCCACGAGACCGAAAATTAATGTCAATTGCCCACGAAACCAAAATATCGGTCCCGAGGGCTTGGTGACTTTTGGTCTCAAGGGCTGTCAATTATGGCCCTGTTTTATAAAACTTGTTATCAATAACAAGACACGAAATTGTCATTAGCTTACTGCTACTAAAATTGTTGCATTTGTTTGGCTGTGAGCAAATTTGTCATTTTTGGTTGATAAGAATTTTTATGAAACAGGGTGGGCTGTTGGTGACGTTGGTTGCAGCAGAATGATTATGGTTCAATTGTGCAAGTAAGCATGTATGGGGTGACAATGGGCTAGGTTCTAGACTTAGTCGTGAGGCGGTCAATTAGAGTATGCATTATTTAAACAAGTGTAGAAAATTGTATTCAAGATTAGCCACAACGTAATGCACCAGCTAAGATAGCTAATTTGCGCCATTTGCACACACTAACGTGTGCGTCAAAAATGATTTGGGTCAGCGTTGGGGTTGTGGCCGTTTTTAAAAACATGCATCTACAACTTGTTTGTTTGTTTGTTTTACCTGGTTACTAAGATAGCATATATATGCATGTAAATAAGCAACCTGGGGACTGACGGCTTTAAGTCATCGACGAGGGATTTGGTAATTAGGATCAATGCCGGACCAAAGGGCACTAGCGCATCGAATTGGTTTCGAACCCAGGACCTCCCGGTTACGAGACAACTGCTCTTCCACTGAGCCATCGTGTCCCCTGATAAATGCCTACGTCAAGTATAGGCTCGAACCTCGTACCTGCTATCATGGGTCCCACGATGATGGCAACACCGGGTGGTACCTGACAAAACGCCCAGGCCTGCTGGCGTAGTTCCTTTCTAAAGAGGCTGGTGTTTATCGGGAACACCAGGGCGTTGAAAGTTCCATTACAGAAACCAATACCTGAAACAGCATGAAAATAAGCTTTCTGTTTACACTCTTTTTCAAAGATACTAATCATCTCTAAAAATAATTCTAAAGTTCAGAATTATTAAATTTACAGATGACCCAAGACAGCAGGTAAAGGAAAGCAACATAAATTGAAAGAAAGAATTAAAGACAGAGAGTGACGAAGATCTGTAGAGGGTCATTGAAATCAATCCTAATTAAAGGCTTGAGGAAACAATTCTGGGTGTTTTTTGTTAAAATCTCCGGTCGCCCTTTTCCCTCTACTTCTTAAGAAGGCTGGGGCAGTATTGTGACAACTATACTTATCCTTACATTAGGGGAAAAGTTGCTTTAACTGTCTTCTTGTTTTAAAAAAACGCGCGGAATGAGGTTTCCCTTAACTTTAAGCGAACGCAGACAGCTTTGCGCAGCACACATGAATCAATAAGTTTGCATAACTTTGTTTTGTTTTAACAATTAACATTGTTTTACTAAGATAAAAGATAACATAAAATGTAGCGTCGTCTCAATCACCACCCCTGTATCAATGCTCTTTCAGAAATGACGCGGTCAACCGTCGCAAAAAAAAAAAACAACCCAAAACAACAAAACGCCGCGGTTTAACGTGTAAATGAATTGCACCTGCCGGCAACAAAGGTTTGACGCGCATTCAGTTTAATAGCTCTGTGTTATAATATACAGAACCGTCAAGCGTGCTACAATTACGTCATCATTAAAAATAACATGCCGCGGTTGACCGCTTCGTAACTGAACGAGGCTCTACTGGCAATACTCACAAGTAGCATAAAAGAACATGAGGAAGGCGTGGTGTGCAAAGACGGCTACATAGGTGACCACGGCCATAATACCACAAGCGAGAACAAAGACGTGGATGAGGGGGAAGGGGAGATGGTCCCCGAGCACCCCTACAGCCAAACGCCCCAACATGTCGGACGCCCCTTTTACCGTCATCACTAAGGACGCCTTCGCCGGCTGGATGCCGAGCCAAGTCATATAATTCACCTGAAGAGAAAATTAGATTACTATATTTGATGGTTTTTATTCCTAAATAATTTCCGTTTACATCGTCATGCATCTTTTTCGTTACCATGGTGAATAATGATCAGGGGCGGCGATCCCGGGGGAGACGGGGGGGGACACGTCCCCCCCCCCTTGATTTTTGTAGGGGGGATCGTCCCCCCCCCCCCGGAAAATTTGAAAAAGTACACAAAAATAATGTACAGCAAATACTGACTAAAGACTGCAACACACTATTAGGCTTTGGAGGGCCCAAGAGTGCAGCATTTAGACAAATAAAAATGCAAAAATCTTCTGGCTCGGGAGCTATGCTCCCTTGCATAATATCCTTCAAAATGTACAATTAATATTGTAGAAAAGTGAAGTGTGAAACAGGTATTTTGTTTGTTTTCATACTAAAGTTTTGCTAAGGAATATAATTTACCTTGACCCCTCTCGTTCACTATGCTCACTCACTCGTGCTTTGGGCAGTCCCCCCTCCCCCCCCCCCCCCCGATAAAATTCAAACGTGGTTTATTTCTAATTCGATACCAGTTACTAATTTACAAGTGCTACTGAAATGGCATGATTTTCCCCAAGCTTCCGGGGGCTCTGCCCCCTGTACCCCACTAAGGGCCCAAAGGCTTGTCCCTGGTTACTCAGCTGACCATAATTAAATTCCTAAAACACCTGAGCTTCCGGGGCTCCGCCCCCTGGACCCCACCAGGGCCCTAAGCGGGCCTCTGGATGGTCATCTGACCATATTCAAAAGCCTAAAACCCTGAGCTTACGGGGGCACCGTCCCCTAAACCCCACCAAGGGCCCTTTAAGGCGGCCCCTGGGTGCTCATCTGATCGTAATTAAGCTTCTGGGGGCTTTGCCCCCTGGACCCCAGTACGATTAGTGACCTGCATGCAAGTGTCACAAATAAGGTATCAAAATATGCTCATCTGACCCGTATTAAATGCCTAAAAACTCTGAGCTTCATGGGGCTCCGCCCCTTGACCCCCGCCGGGGCTTTGCCCCTGGACCCCACGCCAAAGTTATACCCAACTTAATTGCTTTGCTCTATCTGATCGCAAATACTTTATCCCCCCCCCCCCTCCTACTTTGAAAAACGGTTCCGCAGGGCCTGCATGTAACATGTAAGAGCAATGATGATGCGGATTTTTTTCTCCCCTTCCCCCAAAAAAACGTTTTGGCTCATTACGTCACTCCTCCCTCGTTCCTCGCATTTCGTTCCCCCCCCCCCCCCCGGTCATGAAAAGAAATCGCCGCCCCTGATAATGATTTATTATACACGTTCAAAGTCGCTTGTGTAATCCTTGCTTATTTGCCACCACTGTTACATCACACTAGCTATGTAATCATGATAATTATCACATATTAAAATGATCATAAAAGGGGATAGGTTAATGTGAATTAATATTTTAACACTTGTGTTTCAAAAGAGCATATAAATATAGATTTATTCTAAACTGAACCAGCTTCATGCTAATTGAAAAAAACTATGCACTTTTTCCATCAGTTTAATTTTTCCATCATTTTAAATTGTATTTATTTTCTATGTTTAGTATTACCGTGTTTATTTAGCATGCTAAGTAATATCGTGGTTCAATAATTTTGATTAAGAGAGAGAGGGAATGAGGAGGAGGGTAGGGATGAAAAGAGAGAGAGAGAGAGAGAGAGAGAGAGAGAGAGAGAGAGAGAGAGAGAGAGAGATACGGGCAGAGAGAGACGGGAGGGGGAAGGAGGGTGAGGAAGAGAGGGAGAGATAGAGTAAGAGAGCTGTGAGAGAAGGAGGGAGAGGGAAATAAGTGGTTGGAAGGAGAGAGGTAGACGTGAAGAGATTGGATGGGGGATGGAGGGGAGATTTTAGAACTCACCAAATGAATAAAAGGAAAGACATATCCCACTCCTTTGAAGAGTTGACCGACCATGAAGATAATAAAAAGTGGATCCAACCAAAGATCTCCATTGCAACTACCACAAATCCTCCTCGGCGGATTCTTCTCCTTCCGAATCATTTCCGCCAACCAACTACTCTCTGATTCAGCATCGTCGATTTCATGCACGCTCTGGACATCATCCTTGTTCCGATTTACGAGAACGGTTTCGTCGTCACAGTCCTGCATTATCAAATCATCGACATCGTCGACGTCGTTATCGTTGGCATACGCGTCGAAATCGGGTTGCTTTAAGACCGCGCTGCAGGGAAGACCGATGACGATGGTGAGGGCGGACAGGACGCGGAAGGCGTTGCGGAGACCAATGGATCCGACCAACGATTCGACCACGGGATTCATCGTCAGTGAACCTATGAGAGTTGAAAAATAACTTCCTTATGTATTTTTATATCAAACTTATGCCAACGATATAAATGTTGATGGCCCTCTTTCAAAGGAAGCACTGCAACATACAAAAACACATGAAATATATATAACGAGGGCCCCGTATCATAAGGATTTACAATCAATCGTTGATGAATCAATCTTAAGATTAATCTTACGTTTAATGATCTTTATAAAAACGGGGCCAAGGACTAAACATCAATTCAGAACAACGAATTAGTAAAAAAAAAATCTGTATTATAAGATAAGGAAAGGGACATTCTTTATTACTCGTATTCAGAATTACTCTTAATTTGTGAATACATATTACTTAGTCTCCTTACCAAATGGGATGCCAGCGGTCACAAGACAGGTTGCCAAGACGTGGTGCCGGTCGGGAAACCACGCCCCTGTCAGGACCAGCGGGGTGTTGTAGGTCAGGTTGGTGGCGAAGCCGAACATGATGCTATACGTCACCATCATCCACCACATGTCACGAACGAACGACGAGACGAAGAGGGCGAAGGACCCGAGGGCGACCCCGGCCAGGGCGCAGGGGCGGCAACCGAAGTGCATGTAGAGACGCGACGAGATCGGACTGCACACGTAGGCCAGGCCAAAGGCGAGCGAGCCGACCCAACCTGCAGTAAAGTAGAGGGGGGGGGGTATACGGGACGGAAAATAGAATATCATATTAGCGATACTATTTGTTGAATTATTAGATACATGAGAATTTAATGAATCATTAATATTTGCGGAATATACCTGTTACTAACGTATTTAAATGCACGTAACTGGCCAGAATCATTTGTCACTATTAATTGTTGATGCATCTGCTATACACAATGACATCTCTATTGATGGAATCCATAGATATAAATCATTTTTGATCCAACAAAATAAATAAAGATTGATTATGTACACGGTCTGGTTTTTGTTTTTTGGTTTGTTTTTGTCCCCCCCCCCACCCCTTTAGTATGCTTCTTCTTTTCTTTTTTTTTTAAATCATCCTCTCAAACAACAATATAATACTGTATTATATATACTTTATTACTGTTTTGGTGGCAGCAGCACCAATAAAGCCTTTGGCTTTCCTAGCTGTCTCCACATTCATATATATTTTTGTTGTTGTATTGTATTGTAAATGTTTCTCTTTAAGTTGTACGCTATGTTTTGTATTTTATATGTTTGTTATGATGTTTTTATGATGAATGAAATAAGGTTCAATTCAATTCAATTCAATTCTATTTAATTTTGCATACATTAACTGTTGCCAGGTCATGCAAAACTCTGGCAAGTTTTTGAGTTTTCAAGGGAAACCTTTCTTCAAGAAGTACGCATAACATTCGTAAACGGATCTATTGTTAAATTGTGAAAATACTTCTTTCTATTCTATTGTTTTAACATATCCAGGAGAGGATAACAGTTGGTTTGTCAGTTAAGATGAAATCATTCCCTTCCAGATGACAAAAACTAAATCTTTGGAAAGTGAAGGCTCCATATACACTTTCTATGTGCTCTCGTGAAGGATAACAAATTGAAAAATGGCAAATGGAAAAGCGAGTATAGAGTTATGAATGCAAGTGCCAAATATTAACAGAAAATAAGGTAGAGGTGTATATCGAGAGAGGTGAGTGATATAGAGAGAAAGGGGAGGGAGGGAGAGAGAGAGAGAGAGAGAGAGAGAGAGAGAGAGAGAGAGAGAGAGAGAGAGAGAGGGGGGGGGAGAGTAAGATACAGACAGACAGTCAGATGGAGACATACATACATACAGAGATACAGGTGAAGGAGGGGGATGCATGCAGAGCGAGAGACAGAAAGACAGATTGACAGAGGGAGAGAGTGGGAGACAGGGGAAGTGAGAGAAAGAGAGAGAGAGAGAGAGAGAGAGAGAGAGAGAGAGAGAGAGAGAGAGAGAGAGAGAGAGAGAGTGGATGTACAGAGAGAAAGAGAGATGGGGAATGGGGTGGAAAAGAAATGTCACGCAGTTTATTAGGGTCGTATTCTACCGGGTGTTGATATCAGGTGTTGCTGTACCTGTTCAATTAGTTGTGATTGAGCTTCCTCATTTATACTCAGTCATAATTTAGCATTCCGATTTTTGTACAAATAATACGGCGGCATACATGTAGCTTACAAATTTGGCAGAACTGTGCCCTTTTGTCTATTAAACAGGCACAAAACTTGAACAATATTAGATCTATAGATATATTATATTAGATATATAAATCTTGCCTTAAATATTACAGGCGGTGGTGAGCCATTGCAATAAGAGCGATTATATTTGTTGATCAAATAGAACAGGGTATGTGTGTGGGGTATGTGTGTGGGTGAAGTGAATACATAGAGCTAGAATTAGCTTTCAAATAAGTCGTGCTCATCTTAAAGGGCCATCCGACACTTGTAATAACTACATTAGCATAGAAGCAGAAAATAAATGAATCAGGCCAATGATAAGGAACTTATGAATGTTTGTAATTATGAGATCACTAAATCCATGCAAATTTCAAATTGGCAATTCGGTCAGTGGATTTGTAACGTAGTCTTGTAACAATTCACCCTTTGTCTTGAAACAAAATATCATTAATCATCATTTTTCCCGCTCATATGTGAAAAAAATATCATGAAAAGCACATCACCACAGATCCTGTAAAAAGAAAAAAAAAATCTCTTTTTCTTCTTCTTCTTTTTACAATTTCTTGGGGGGCATGGAAAGCACATCACCACAGATCCTGTAAAAAGAAAAAAAAAACTTTCTCTTTTTCTTCTTCTTCTTTTTGCTAATTTCTTGGGGGAGGGGAGGGGTAGAGGGGAGGGGTAGACACAAGTCATGAAATACCATGTTCATGTTCGACTCTTTCTATGTTCTATTTATACCTAATAATTATCAACTATGATATCTTAGGGACGTTGCGCTTCAAACATTTTTTGTTTATGCACTGTTCATACTATGTATTACATCTCAATGTAACCCACTGAATTTTATTATCTGTAAACGATTATTTTACATGGTGAATAAATAAAACAAACAAACAACAAACAAATACAAATCACAAACATATAATACGCACTAAGGGTAGACGTTTTGTCCGTCTTGTAGAGCTCGAGGAACGAGGGCAGGAGCTCGCCGAAACTCATGATGATGCCGAAAAATGGAACATTGATGACGCAACTAGCTAAACACACCATCCAGCCTCGAATATTCTCGATCTGCTTCAATCTCGTTAGTAGAGACGGTCTCCGCGGCGACGAGGGAGGGGCGTGATGACCGGAAGTGTCTTTGGCGGTGGTCGACGATGTGGGTGTAGGCGAGGTCGGCGGCGAGAATGATTCGGCGATGCGGATGGACATGAGGTAAGCCGTCTCGGTGGGCGAGGAGTCTCGGGAGAGGAGAGGAGACCTGGTATCGTCCACCTGATGATATAAAAAAAAAAGGAGAAAGAGAAAAACCGTCATTGTTGGTCAAACAGTTTTTGAGCGTCAAGTAACGCCTGGCTGGAATGCTCCCCAGGGAGTGGAGATTGTGCACACAGTGTGTGCGGGCAAGCACTGAATCCAATGCCCGGGGTAATTGTAAAGCGCTTAGAGACGTCCGAGATGTATGAGGCGCTTTATAGAAGCTGAATATTATAGCAAAGAGAGAAGGGGACAGAGAAGGAGTTGGGATAAACGATGAGAAGAAGAGAGAGAGAGAGAGAGAGGGATAGAAAATTGAAGATATATGGGAGAGGAAGAGGGTGATCGGAAGGTGGAGAGTGGCAGAGTGAGTTTGAGAGCAGAAGGGAGGGAGAAACAGTGAGATATGGGAAAGGAAGGGTAAGAGAAATATATATAAAACATGGTTAAGGGAGGAAGAGACAGAGATAAAAAGAAAGATAGTTTAGAGAGAGAGGAAGAGGGGAAGATAGGGAGAGAAAGTGTGAGAAAATAGAGAGAAAGTGACAGGAAAAAGAGAGAGATGAGGAAGAATTCAGATTTTCGTGGAGAAAGAGAGGCAGACAGAGTTCAAAGGAAAAGATACGGAAAAGAAAATGAGACAGGGATAAATGGAGTAAAGGGAAAGGTAAAGAAAGAGAGAGAGAGAGAGAGAGAGAGAGAGAATGAGTGAGGGAGAGAGACAGGCGCGGATCCAGGGGGGGCCGAGCGGGCCTTGGCCCCCCCCCCCCCCCCGCAAAAAAAAAGGAGACAGAGAGAGGGAAAAGAAGGGAAAGGGAAAGAGGAGAGAAAGGGGAAAAAAGAAGACGAAGAAGAAAGGAAAAGAGGGATGAAGGAGATCGGGGAGGTGGGGTAAAAGGACTTGCCTCCCAGGCTGTTGCCTCCCCCCCCCCCCCCCCCCCCCCAATAAAAAAATAAAAATAGAAGGAAGGAAAGGGAAAGATAAAAGAAGAAGAGGAGATAAAGGGAAGGAAAAAAGAGGAAGAAGAAAACAAAAGAAGGGGGATATCAGTTGCAATTTTCCTGCCAACAGATTGTGGATCGGGGGGGGGACAAAAGGCCCTTGCCTTAAAAGAGGAGAGCTAAAAGGGAACAAAAAAGAGGAAGAAGAAAGAAAAAGTAGACAAGAAAGGGAGATCAGTTGCGGTTAATCCCGCCAACAATGTGTGAAGCGGGGTGGGGCCAAAATGACCTTGCCCTCCTCCAGCAAACATAAAAGAGAAAGAAGGAAGGGAATGGAAAGGAAAAGAGGAGAGAAAGGGAAAAAAAAAGAAAGAGAATGAAGAAAGGTAAGGGATATCAGTTGCAATTTTCCCGCCAACAAGGTGTAGATCGGGGGGGGGGGCACTGGCGTACTGATAGGGGAGGGGGGGCTTTGGGGAAATAAAATTCAAACGTGGTTTATTTCTAATTCCATAACGGTGATTTACAAATAATGCTGAAATGACATAATTTTAAGTATATTATACTTTTTTATGCGTTTGTTGGAAAATGACAAACTCCTAAATTTACAGCCAGGCAAGGAAATGCTTCTTGAGATGCCTACATGTCAGGGCTCGCGGAACGGCGGGGATCGAGATCCTCGAACCCCCACCCCCCCCCCCCCCCCCCCCCTACCCACTTTTTTGAAAAAGTATATTAAAGAGAAAAAGAAAGAAAGAGAGCAAGAAAGAAAAAAATAGTTAACTGCCAGTGTCACATTATAATGAGGTATCAAAATATGCTCATCTGACCATGATTAAATGCCTAAAACCCCTGGATTCCACCTAGGGCCCTAAGGCGGGCCCTTAGATGCTCATCTGTTGGTAACTTAATGCCTAAAACCCCTGATTTCTGTGGGCTTTGCCGCCTGGACCCCACGCCAAATAGTTTCCTGCCGGTGTCACAAAATAATAAGGTATCAAAAAATGCTCATCTGACCGTAATTAAACACCTAAAACCCCTGAACTTCCGGGGCTCTGCCCCCTGGACCCGACAAAGAGCCCTAAGGCGGGCCCCTTGATACTCATCTGACCGTAATTGAGTGCCTAAAACCCTTGGGCTTCCGGGGCTCCGACCCCTGAACCCCACGCCAATTAGTAACCTGCCAGTGTCACAATTAGGTATCAAAATAATGCTTATCTGACCGTAATTAAATGTCTTAAACCCCTGAACTTCGGGGGCTCTGCCCCTGGACCCCGCCGAGGGACCTAAGGCGGACCCCTGAGTGCTAATCTGACCATAAATTATTGCATTAAACCCCTGAGCTTCCGGGGCGGACAAGGTATCAACATTATGTTCATCTGACCGCAGGCGCGTAGCCAGGGGGGCAGTGGGGTGGTCCCCCAAAAATGCCGGCCAAAAAAAGAGGAGTGAAAAGGAAAATTCAAATTCAATTCAAATTCAAATTCAAATTTCAAATTCAAATTCAATTCAAATTCAATTCAAAGTTTATTCAACACTCTTCATAAAAACATTTAAAACATACAAATACAGAATGGAGTTATAAATATTAAAAAACACAAAAAGGTGATAACAAATACAATGGCAATTTATAAGAGCATTTGGGATAGGCACAAAGGAGGGAAGTTCCTTATATAAAAGCCTACCCCTAAAAACACACATACATGAGAACGAGAAAAATAGAACAGAACAAAAAAACAAAGAACATATTAAAACTTACTATCATGCACGATCAGAGTATATAAGAAAAATGTCAAAAATTTGTCTATACTATTGATACTAATTATTATACTTGTTTAACAGAAATTGTTTATATTTAATTTTAAAAAGATTGAGAGTTTTGCATTTTTTTATTTCCTGAGGTATACTATTCCATATTAATGGTCCTTTAAAAAATAGTGAATTTTTCATACAAGTCGTTCTAATCTTGGGGAGGTGATAATTTAGGGCATTCCTAGTATTAAAATTATGCACATCACAATTCAAGTTAAAACATGTTGATAAAAAGGTAGGCAAGTTGCCATTAAAACATGAAAACATGAAAACTGCAATATAAAAATTATGCATATCGATTACATTCAGAATTCCAAGTTTACAAAATAAAGGATTACAGTGAGCATAATATTGGGAATGGGTTATAATGCGTATTGCTTTCTTTTGAAGAATAAGTAACCTTAACATATCATTTTTATTAAAATTTGCCCATGCAACTATACAGTAATTAACATATGGTGTTATTAATGTATGATACAACATTTTCAAAATATTTAAGGGATAAAAATGAACTTTATATAAAATACCAATATTTTTTGCTATTTTATTGCACACCACATTTATATGCTCATGCCACTTCAATTTATGATTAATTACAATACCTAAAAACTTAAGATTATCTACACGTTCAAAATTATGATCATTTACTCGTAAGTGCATGTTGTTAAAATCAATATTTCTATTTGTAAAAACCATAAACTTAGTTTTATCATAATTTAAAACCAATTTATTATATAAAAACCAATTAGAAAGTTTCAAAATTTCTTGCTTAAAAACATTTTGTAAAACCTGGACATCAGAATGAGACATAAAAACACTTGTGTCATCAGCAAATAAAATAAATTTTAGTTTATCAGAAATATTGCACATGTCATTAACATAAATAATAAATAAAAGAGGTCCAAGGATGGATCCTTGAGGCACTCCACATCTAAGTTTTTCAATATTAGACTTATCTTTATTTATTTGTACAAATTGGGTTCTATTTTCTAAATAACTTTCAAACCATTTTAAAGTTACTCCACGAATACCATAATAATATAATTTTTTCAATAAAATAGTGTGGTCCAATGTATCAAATGCTTTACTTAAATCTAAAAAAAGGCCCATTAAGATATGATTATTTTCAAAAGTTTTCAAAACATTATAAATAAAATGCATAATTGCATTAGATGTAGAGTGACCAGGTCTAAAACCATATTGACATTCAGAGATAATATTACACTTATTTAAAAACATAAAAAGTCGATTATAAACAGCTCTTTCTACAATCTTGGAGAAAACAGGGAGTATAGATATAGGTCGATAATTAGAAACATTTTCTTTAGTGCCATTTTTAAAAACAGGAATAACCTTTGCAAGTTTTAATTGCTCTGGTACTATACCTGCAGATAAAGAAATATTGAATATTGCACTTAAAGGACATGATATAATATGAACAACTTTTTTCAATAATTTAACACTTACATCATCATGACCACAACTCTTATTATTTTTTAATTTACTTACAATATTGATTATTTCTGTGGGGGTAATGGGATTAAAAAAAGCTGTACATGAATTAAAATCAATATTACTATAAATGTCATCATTACTAAAATCATTATCTATGTTGTTGTCTAAATTATCAGTTAAGCTAGGTCCTATATTAATAAAAAAATTATTAAAAACAGAGCATATTTCTTTCTTATCACATATAGCTTGATCATTACACACAAAAGGGAGTAGACAAAGAAAATTTTGTAATTCAGACAAGGATTAAGAGTCGAAAACTTTACAACGATTCGTCTTCTTTCTCTAATAATTTAATGAAACGTAAAATCTTCCGCGCTTCGCGCGAGAGGGGGAACCTGAATTTAGACGAAGATTAAGAGTCGATAACGACACAATGAATCGTCTTCTTTCTCTAATGATTTAATGAAACGTAAAAGCTTCCGCGTGAGGGGGGGGGGAACATAATTTAGACGAGGATTATTTTTGGGAACGGTACAACGAATCGTCTCCTATCTCTAATAATGTATTGAAATGTCAAAGCTTCCGCGCTTCGCGAAGGAGGGAGGGGGAAAACTCGTCCCTCCCTGCGCCCACCCCCCCCCCCTAATTACATCACTGCTGGTCACCATTACGTACCAATATTTGGCTTGCATAATTTCAAATTTGGGCCCCCCTAAGAAATCCTGGATCCGCGCCTGGTCGGCCGTCTGGTTGCTTATTTACAAGCATTTATGATTTTTAAGCAGTCAGGTAAAATAACCACCTAATAACCATCAATGACGTGGGAGATAAAGTAATACCATATGGCACTTGTGTTTAAAGGAGAGTTGGTTTCTGTGGCCAAGAAAAGTTCTATCTATATGTAAATGAGACAAAATGTGAAGGTATAGCAAATCCACATTTTTAATCACGAGTTAAATTATATGTGGATATGTGTATATAATTTAACTCGTGATTAAAAATGTGGATTTTCTATACCTTCACATTTTGTCTCATTTACATGGGAGATAAAGTAATACCATATGGCACTTGTGTTTAAAGGAGAGTTGGTTTCTGTGGCCAAGAAAAGTTCTGTCTATATGTAAATGAGACAAAATGTGAAGGTATAGAAAATCCACATTTTTAATCACGAGTTAAATTATATGTTGATATGTGTATGTGTTTTTACGCGTAGATCATAATCAAAATATTATACACGGTTCAGCATTTGCTCAAAAAGCTATATAGACCATGATTAAGGAACAACGTACCATAACTCGACTGTCTCCAATAACATTGATAGCGGCTTCGGAGAGGACTTTTTGTTAGCAATGGAATCCAATGACCGGGGTAATATGTAAGGCGTTTAGACACATAGGAGCTCTATACAAACGTGACTATTATCTTTAAACTTGAAATCCATTTTACATAACCCAAGAAAATGTCAGACAAAATCCATTAAACTATAACTCCGAAGCCTGTGCCTAAATTAAAAACTTTAAAAACACCCACTAGTAGATAGAAACGCACTCTCTTGAATGCTATCATTATTTTTGTAATCAGATTATCCAAAAACTCTGTGAAAACAACATTTCCCATACGATGAGGTATAGTAATTGAGTGCCTAAAACCCTTGGGCTTCCAAGGGCTCCGACCCCTGAACCCCACGCCAATTAGGGACCTGCCAGTGTCACAATTAGGTATCAAAATAATGCTCATCTGACCGTAATTAAATGCCTAAAACCCCTGAACTTCCGGGGCTCTGCCCTCTGGACCCCGCCTAGGGCCCTAAGGCGGACCCCTGAGTGCTAATCTGACCGTAAATTATTGCCTTAAACCCCTGACCTTCCGGGGGCGGACAAGGTATCAACATAATATGTTCATCTGACCGCAGGCGCGTAGCCAGGGGGGCAGTATGGTCCCCCAAAAACCGCCGGCCAAAAAAAATAGAGGTGTGGAAAGGAAGAGGACGTATGAAGAAAAGGGTGTAGACAAAGAACATTTTTGATATTCAGACAAGGATTAAGAGTCGAGAACGTTACAACGATTGGTATTCTTTCTCTAAAAAATCTTTCGCGCTTCGCGCGGGAGGGGGAAAACTGAATTTAGACGAAGATTAGGAGTCGATAACACGACACAATGAATTGTCTTCTTTCTCTAATGATTGAATGAAACGTTAAAGCTTCCGCGCGAGGGGGGGGGGGGGAACATAATTCAGACGAGGATTATTTTTGGGAACGGTAAAACGAATCATCTTCTTTCTCTAATAATTGATTGCAATGTCAAAGCTTCCGCACTTCGCGGAGGAGGGTGGGTGGAAACCCACCCCCCCCCCCCCAAATTACATCACTGCTGGTCACCATTATGTACCAATATTTGGCTCGCATAATTTCAAATTTGGGCCCCCCCCCCCCCCCTAAGAAATCCTGGATCCGCGCCTGGAGAGAGAGAGAGAAGGCCAGGGGGAAGAGAATGGGGATCCAGATGTAATTTTAATACGATAAGCAGATAAACTCTACCTAATATATGCTGCCTAATTTTTTTTTTGGTATAGCTCCTTGCTGCCTCCATATCAAAATGGCTTTTAAAGATAGTTACATTAGACTAGAGTAGACCAGCCAAACATTAAAAAAGGATCTAGCAAAATATTCCATGGCATTGCCCGTAAAATGCCGTCCACAGTAAAGAAATCATGTCTTGGCTGGTCTACTTCTTCTTTTTTCACTTTCATGTTTCTTTCAACACGTAAATTATATCATCATTATCAAAGAAACTACTCGATCTGTTTCAAACAGCTGAACTATATTGTTGGAATATGCTATGGAAGAATGTCTATTCATTTGAATGCATTAATGGTCTAATTAATCTTTTATTATTAATTGTATCGATGCAGGTAATCGCGACCACACTGACCCTTTATTTCCCACTTTAAAAACTCTAAAAACAAGTTATATAGAATACATGCAAAAATCTTTGTTCATGTTTCGGCTTAATTCCGGTATCCCCCCCCCCCCCATCACTAGTCATATTATTCCAAAATAATGCTAATTTTCATTCCTACCCAACCAGGCGTTCCAATGACTATCAAAGCGGCGAGGCGATTTTTTTTTTTTTTTTTTTTGCTATTTTGAACCCACATAAGTGACGTTCTCCTGGCATCTAATAACATCTACTGATACTGTGTGGGTCTGGACACATGATGACGTTTTTCTATGCACATCACATTTTTATTTGGCAGCCCAAGGTGGGGGGTTAGACCCCCTAACGCCCTCACCCCCGTAGATCCACCCCTGCCTCCCGTTTGATGTTTTCGATTAGTTACAGCCAGTCGTACTTTATTCTATATACATTCTTTTGTCATGTGTACAATTTGCAATGTTTTATTTGTTATACTGTATACTATGTGTAAAACTGCAAAAGAAAAAGTAAATCAAATCAAATCTTGGAACCCATGTTGTATTTCACTGTGTGAGTCCCTCACTGTTCCTAAAATAAAGGTCACTCGGTTATATCATCAGTTGTACAACTCTGACATCATTATTTTCATCAAAGTTGGCTAACTCACACGGGAGAATCCCGAGCATTGAGGAAACTAAAATATTGAGAGGTTGTTAATAAAAATGCACGCTTTTTGCGTCTAATACGGACTCGGTTATCTCATAAGTTGTACAACTCTGACATCAATATTTTCATCAAGTTGGCTACTCTCATTGGAGAATCACGAGCAAGAAAAACTGAAAGATTGTAAATAAAAATGCACGCCTATGTTGGGGCATCCTATACGGTAACCACACAAACAAATCGAAATCAAATACATAATACATGAACTCATAAACTTGGAATAAAAAACACAGAACTCTGCAAGGAAATCTATAATGTTTCCTACCTCATGGATTTCATCGCGTTTGCCCATTCCGAAAAAGTCGGATGCTCCTGTCCAGGATGAAAATAGTGCCGAGCTCTTATTCCATATTTTTTCTCCTTAATCGATCAAATTAAAACTATGAATTATAACCGTATCCTTGTGATTATGTCCTTTCATCAGCTGTTCAAAATCGAACGAATTCTATCTTTTTGCCAGTCCGACTCTATATTTAAAAGACTAGCCGCTACGTTCGCTTTAGTCGGAACAATCAACGCACTAGGTTCGAAAAGGGACAGCCGACGTATTGCTGTTTTGCTTAATGATGTACGGCAAAGAAGTTCCTCTCAATCACTTTCCTCCTAATTTGTGTCCGAAATTAGATGTCAAATTTGATGAAGTGGCCTTTCTCACCAACTGAGGAGAAGTCTGCAAAAAAAGAAACGTTGCACGTCATTAAAACTAAAGCCACAAACTTGAAATGCAAAAACTTTCGTTTTTTAACAAACAAGTTATAGTATTGTGCGATGATAATTGTGAAAGCATATGTGAGGAAAACACCTTGGTATGTTGAAGACATGAATAATTTATTACTATCGAGAGTTTTTACAATCGAAGCGATCGATTGGTCCTATTTGAGTACAAAGGGGCGATTCACTGACGTTGGAGGCTTGTTGGGGCGGGAGTTAGGGACGTATTGTGGGCATGAAAGGCGTATAGAAATCAATATCGACCTTGGCTATTTTGAATTGTTGGAGTCAGAAACACGCTCTACTTGAAGAAAGTAGACCACGTCTCGCCGTTATTTAAAATGACTTGAACAATTAGTACCACTGACCCAGTGAATGGTCAGTACAGCACTGACCATTTACTACCCATTCGCGTATTCATTAAAGGGTCACTAAATTACAAATTCAGGTGGACTTTTGTTGATCTGTAATAATATATACATCACATATCTTTTGACTTTCTGATGTACATTTATGTCATACATTTTATATTATTTTATCTATTATTTTTTTCTACCTGCTAAAAACATGGAATGCTATTGTGAACAGGTGTTCAGTTGATGGGAAGGGACATCTAGCTGACTGGTAAATGACTGGCACGATGATGTCACAAAAGTTATTTGCTTTTGGAGGGGTTTTCTTAGGGGTGGATCTTACCAGGTAGAACAAAATTAAAAATTAAAAAATAAAAGTAGATCACAAAGTAGATCACAATGTCAAAAGACAAGTGATGTATACATTTTATTAAAGATCAACAAAAGTCAACATGAATTTGTAATTTAGGGACCCTTTAAATGACAAACAACAAAATGTGCCCCTTAATTCTCTTTGAGTGCATAATATGCTCCAGTACTTGGTAGGATTCCTCCAAAAGACGCCGTAAAGGCGTTTAAACTGGAGGTGTGTCGTCATGGGCGCAGATTTAAAAGATAGAAAGATTGTTCCAGCCCTTAACTGTCCTTGGGAAGAATGAGTATGCAGTGTCCCTTTACAAAATGTGACACGCAAATACCGACTGAAAAAATAAGCATTTGTGTTGTATCGCCTGCTTGTCAATGAGTCCCCTCTTTAGTAATACGCCCCTTTTACAAAAATTAACCATTCCCCCATGAAAACTTGTTTTTCTTCATACTAAAATATTTATCAACTTATGCACCCCAACTAACTGAGAAACATGAGAAATTGCTAATGAATAAGAAGAAAATGAAAAGCATAAGAGACAATAAAAGAACGGGGGAGAGGGGGAAAAAGGAGAAAGGGAGAGAGGGAAAGGGAGGGAGAGATGGGAAGGGAGGGAGGGAGCGAGGGAAAAGAGGAAAGGGACGGGGTCATTGGAGGTAGGGGAAGATAATGGAAAAGGTGCAGGTACGTAGAGAAGGATGGTATAAAAGGCGGAGGGAAAGCAGAAAGGGAGGGAGAGTGCATAGGGAAGGGAGGTAGAGAGGGTAAAGAGACGGGAAGAGGGGGAAAGGGAGTGATAGAGGGCAGGGCTCAAATTAATTTTTTGTCCACGGGGGCTCTTCCAAAAAAAAAGAGCCCCCGTGAGCCTTATCACGGGGGCTATTTTAGTGCTGACGGGGGCTCTTATTTTAATACAAATTTCCATTGAACTGGTACCCATGAAACTCCTAAATTCCTTGGTATTTTATCATTATCATTTATTTAAGTGGGCATTTTCCCTCTTAGAAATTTACTTGTTACATAGCTGTTATTGACTTTTATCCCCGTGATGACATTCTCTCCATTTCTTCCCGCTCTGCACATAATGTCCTCCTCTTTATTCGGAGCAACCTTATTTACATTCTTTCTTTAATTTAAGTTTTTACCATATCCTTCCAAAACACTGACAGGGGCGGATCTAGCTTATTGCTAAGGGTGGAGGGTGTAACCCAAATACGATGCGGAGCATCGTCCACGAGCCGCGAAGCGGCGATGCGATTTTTTGGTGCTATTTTGAACCCCCGTTAGTGATGTTTTCCTGGCATCTACGGACATCTGCTACTACTGTGTAGGTCTGGACACATGATAGCATTTTTCTAAGCACATCACATTTTCACTTGGCAACCCAAGGGGGAGGCCGGGGGGAGGGGGGGGGGGGGGGTTAACCCCCTAAACCGCCTAGATCCGCCCCTGCAACATCTTTGCTGATCTTCTTCTCAATATTGATTTACTGGTCGAGTTACATTATTTGCTGGTCTTTTAAAATAACCAGATTTCAGAGGATTCACACTTTTCACAACGAATAACTTCTCCATGTTTCAGTCCTTGCGCGATCGTCTCCATGCAGCTCTCAGCAGATATTGGGCGTCAGCATGCGCACCGGTACTACCGGTGTGACCGCGTAGAATGTAACCCGCACCGATCGTCCGAGTATTAGAGATCGATCGAGAGCGGACGATCGGTGCGGATTTTATCCGCGCAGAATGTCCGTGTCGGACATTCCGTGCGCGCCTCAAATGTCTGACGGACAATCCGTGCGGAAGAGGTCTCGCACCAATAGTCCGCCTGCCGCACCGAATGTCCGTACTCTAGTCCACACATATACATAGTCAATATAGTGGAGGCTGTTAGGGCTAAATAGGGTTTGTTTGGTGCAGATTCTTCTAAAAGCACCAAATTTGGCCCAGAGGTAGATTATACCATACTTTTACGATTTCTTCCGGACGCCAAGAAGGGCACCCTCTGGGTATGCCATATTCGGCAAATCCAAAATGACCGCCATCTGAGTTAAAGGTCAAGCGTAGTTCCAAAAGGAAAAGCGGTTGTATGATAATAGTTTATATATTTATGGGGTTTTGGGGGTCAGAAAATCTGATTATGATATTCTTTCATCAATTTAAGATCTCCTTGGGGCTGCCATACTGGTCATATTGGTCAAATTCAAAATGGCCGCCATCTGATAGTTAAAGGTCAAGCGTAGTTCCAAAAGGAAAAGCGGTTGTATGATAATAGTTTATATATTTATGGGGTTTTGGGGGTCAGAAAATCTGATTATGATATTCTTTCATCAATTTAAGATCTCCTTGGGGCTGCCATACTGGTCATATTGGTCAAATTCAAAATGGCCGCCATCTGATAGTTACAGGTCAAGTGTAGTCACGAAAGAAAATGGGCTAGTATGATAAAAGTTTATATATTTATGGGCTTTTCGGGGTCAGAGAATCTGATTATGATATTCTTTCATCGATTTGAGATCTCCTCGGGTCATACTGGTAATATTGGTCAAATCCAAAATGGCCGCCATCTGATAGTTACAGATCAATAGTAGTTCCAAAAGGAAAAGAGCTAAAATGATAAAAAAAAAAAAAATTATATAGTAAGGGGGGTTTTCTGGGTCAGAGAATCTGATTATGATGTTGCTTGTATCAATATTGCAGGTCTCCTTGGGGCTGTCATGCTGGCCATATTGGCCAAATAAAAAATGGCCGACATCCGAGTTAAAGGTCAAGCGTAGTTTCAAAAGGAAAAGGACCAGTATGATAAAAGTTGATGAATTCATGGGGTTTCCGGGGTCGGATAATCTGATTATGATGTTCTTTTATCAATGTTATTTCACCATCCTGTCCTAAGGCTACAATGAAGTCCATTTCCTAGTTGAAGAAGATAAGTGAAGATGCGCCAAATTCACACTTGAGTGGGTTTAAACTTGGCCTGCGCCCATATGTTTCATCAATATGCAAACTTTCCTCTGTGAAATGCATAATACATTCGTTTTCGAGGATTGGCAAGGAAAATAGATAAACAGTAAAAACAGACCATGAATAAAGAAATAAACAGCTTGTTCGATTTGTTTTGAAGCATTATATTCAAAGACCCGGACAGCTTTATCTTTATTATCCATATAAATAACGTCTATAATCACTGTCAGACGGGAGATAATACCAAAATGAATACTAAATGCATTAAGCAACGTCTAGACATAACGGTCGAATCTCAACTTTAGTTTTCTCATTCTTCTTTACATTTCGAAGCGTTACAAGGGATCTTAATCCTTTTTTTTCTACATACATCAATGCCCCCATTTAAGCATACTTTGAATCTGGTCACGCTTCGAAAAGTTCGTGGCCTAGCATTTTGCTTCTGTTGATGATCAAATAGAGAAAGCACCCTTTATAGATCAAGGAGAGTGTGAACAAAGCACGAAGTAGGAGCAGTGCAATTTAAATATCAAGGGATGGATTAGAGTTTATTTCTAAAATGAAATGAAAGGGCTATTTTATTTTCAAGAGTCCTTTCACTTCATTGAAGAAATAACCTCTCTTTATATCTTAGAGACACTTTCTCTTGAAAGTCAAATAAACTCGAGAGCATCCTGGGGCTCCGCCCTGGAACCCCTGGTAGGGGCTCTTCCAGGCCCCTAAAGCTGTGCCATATTGTACGGATCCATTAGAAAGCAAAATAAGCCCAATAAATAATTTGTATATATATATATATATATATATATATAACTATGGATTGCACATACGGAAGACATGTGATAAAAATCAATATTTTGGAGACAGTAGCAAAATGGTACCATAAAGTTAAAACAAGCATACAAACTTTCGTTTTTATTTCGCAGAAAAGATCTTCAAACCAGAGT